ACTTTTTGGGTATTGCCACAAAGATCGATTGCATTGTCTGGGGATTGTGGCAGTCTGATATATTAGATTAAAGAGTTCAACCATTATATCACATTACATATACAATTAAACTATAGTGACACACAACTTGTTAGTGGCTAGCGAAGCCTTGTTCGCCGTAAAGGTACTTGTGCAAAGATACAAGGATATCAAATTACTTAAAACGAAAAATTTAAACATGAGAGAGATCAAGATCATTAGCGCTCTCTATTGTAATCAGATAGCTGTGGTCTTCTTCTTAAGGAGCCATGCATGTGTCAAGTGAGATATTAGATAGTCAGAATTAAATTATTCTATTTTTAGCAGCATTACGAACCATAAACTGTGGATTCCTGCCATTGGCGAATATTACGCAGCCATATCTTTTTACGTCCTACACCTCTCTTATCCACTATCTTTCCTTGTAATACTAGTTGCTGAACAGGGTATCATTCTCCTCGTAATATGTGCCCCAAATATGCAGATACCTGTAATAAAATAGAACAACCAAAATTTTGCATGTGTACAATGTTGTCACATATAATTGTTTTATATGTCGGCAGTGCCGACCCACACCTTTATAGATATTATAGATTTTTTTATTATTTAATTTAATTAGTATTTCAAAATAATTGTGGCAGGTATTCAGTTGATGTCATTTGTTTTTGTGAAATAAAAATATATCTGTGAGATAATAAAGACTAAATTTTATTCATGGTTTTTAAAAGAATTCGTCCAATCTGAGCGTTAAGTGATCCCTGCGTAGACATTTTTCAAATTAATGATCCGATATCAGAGACATCCATCCGCCTGTGAGTTCTTAAAAAGGCACGTTTTGTTTTTTCGGCAATAGATCCCAACCTTGACGATTTACTTAAAACTTTACGTATAAACCAACGGAATATTAGTTGATTAGCAACCAAATATACATTTCTTTCCATATGAACTTAATTATCAAGTACGGCAAATTTAAATTTGGCGATGTTTCATTTGGATTGGTGATTGGTCGTGAACTATACAATGCGAGCGCGGGATGAAATGTTATTTCATATAAGAACGTAAATAATAAAGTGAAGGGATATTCAGTGAATGAACTAGCCTTTCGTTTTGTGATTTATTTTTCTTTTCTAAATTTATACTTTGATACGTTACGTCTGCCGTAAAGCAGACGTTTTTTTTTTAATTAAAGTGTAAACAAATTCAGGTAAATTAACCTAAAAAATGCAAGCCATGAGAGAAACTGTAAGTATTGAAAAGTCTGATATTGTAAATTATATTTTGCATAATGGGTTTTCATCTATTCCATACGAAGAACAAATTGTTATTAAAATTAAGGGGCGTCCTTTGCTTAAAATGTCCCGGCTTATAAATATTAGTGGGAGTAAGGAAAGTAATAGATCATTTTCAGATAATTGGTACAGCAAGTACTCATGGCTTATCGGGAGTGAAATAAAAAACAAACTTTTTTGTTGGCCTTGCATTTTATTTTCGACAAATAGGGGCAAACATGAAAATCCCTGGTGTGAATCTGGTTACGATAATTTAAAGGAATTATTTAGAGCTTTACATAAACATGATATTTCGAAAGAGCATACAGCCGGATTAAATTAGATTTATTTGGAAATCAAAATATCTATGTTTCATTAGATAATGCCCAACGTATTAAACATAACGAAACTGTAAAAATTAATCACGCAGTTTTACGTCGTTTAATTGATATTGTAATTTTTTTAAGTTGTCAGGAATTATCTTTTAGGGGACACAATGAATCGGAGCGTTCGTTAAATCAAGGTAATTATAGAGAACCAATAAAAATGTAAGAAATACGATTTGGAATTTTCTAATTTACTTTCTGATTCAAAGAAATTCAGTGGTGTATCTAAAACAATCCAGAGTGAATGAATAGAATCAATTAGTTACATTGCGTAACGTTATTGAATCTGAGATTCAGGAAACCATTTGCTTTTTACTAGAAGTAGATGAAACTACCGCCATATCATTCACAATTATCAATTGTTGTTCGATGCGCGTTACGTGGTAATATCTATGAGAGGTTTTTAGGTTTTACAGACGCGAGGAAAAGCCATAAGGCAGAATATATTTTTGGTGTTTTAAAGGACAGATTAAAATTTTTTGATATCAAAAATAAATTGGTAGGGCAAACTTATGACGGCGCTGCCGTGATGTCTGGTGAATTAAATGGTCTCCAGGCAAAAGTTAAAACTATTGCACCGCGAGTTTTATTTACTCACTGTCATGAGCATGGAATGAATTTAGTTTTGCAGGATACATGTAAAAAAATTAAAGAATGTCGTTTTTTTGCTAGTTTAAGGGGATTTGCTTTATTTTTCTCAAGCTCGCCTAAACGGACTAATGTTATAGAACGGTTTGTTAAAAAAAATGCCAATAGTTTGACAGACGCGATGGAATTTTAAATCTCGGTTAGTTTTTACTGTAGTAGATTTTCGTGAACAGCTTTTGGAAGTTTTAAATTTTATTATTGAATGTGACGATTTTGAAAGTGATGATATCTCGATCCGTGAAGCAATCGGTTTGAAAACTGTATTAAATGATTACTTTTTTACCATACTTTTAAATATTTTTAAGAAAGTGTTTACCCTAACCGATTTGATATTCAATGTTGTTCAAAATCAGTTATCTCAGAGATTTTCGTAATGATAGTAATTTCCAATATATACGCAGTGACGTTTTGGACTCGCATGATGTTTCCGAACTCCAAAAAAAAGACAAAGGCATGACACAGAAACAGATCTCGAAAAAGAAGTATATTTTGAAGTTTTTCGAATTTTGAAGATTTACAAATTTTTGACGTCTTTCACGATTCAAAATTTAAAAGTTACGCTAAATGAATTGCTAAGATATTCATTAGACAGGTTAATTAAAAATTATCCATCATTCTTTAATAAAATAAAATTAGAAAATGAATTAAAAGTTTTATATGCTAACCCAAATATTTTCGGAAGATGGGATAAGTTACAAGATATGTATAATTTTATATACTGCAATTCATTACAACAAACTGTTACCGAAATTAATAAATTATTGTCATTAATTATCTCATTACCACCAACGTCTGCCTCAAATGAACGAGATTTCTCTTGCCTCAAAAGAATCAAAATGTATTGTCGAAATACCATGAAACAAGAGAGAATGTCAAGCTTGTCTCAAATGTCAATAGAAAAAAAACTTTTAAAATCTCCCCAAAACTCTAATAAATTTTACGATGACGTTATTACCCATTTTGCTACTTCCAAACAACGTAGACTAGAGTTAATTTATAAACATGTTTAGGTTCTAAATTTATAGGAAAAAACAAAAAAAAAACAAAAAAACAAGAAAACAAAAAATCTCCTATGATGATTGAAGTCTTTATTAGACGGTAACACCTATCTGAGGAGACAAAAAATACCTTGCCGACCTTGTCTCTCAAGCCACGAGCCGCCACTGAAAACAACGTTTTTTCAGAAGAAATACAAATTGAGTGGGGTATCAGGCACTTCTGTGTCCCGTCTTTTACTGTGTTCAATGTATACTCAAAGGAAATAATCCAGGAAGCACTAGAAGAACGAATTATGGGAATAATAGTAAATGGTTGTCTAGAAATAGTCATCTTACAACTAACAGAAAGAAAACCCTTAAAATAGTTGAAGGCTTCTAAAAATTGCTGTACACAAGCCAACACAAAGCAAATAGCAGAGAAGATCAAGTACCAGAAATCTTAACAAGGAAAAAGGGCATTGTCAACCAAGGATCAGAACTACTACCGGAAATCTCAATGGACGAAATAAAACTAGCCCTAAGAAAAGCTAAGAATAACAAATCTCCAGGCGAAGATTGTGTAGTTCCTGATGCAATCAAAATCAGAGACACTTGCCTACTTAAAAAAATAAAAAACCTTTTTAACATGTGCTTTTTGGACAGTAATATACCCTACAAATGGCACAATGCTGAGATCAATCACAATCGTCTTGAGAAAAAACTTGATTTCTACCAGCCAATAGAGCAAGCGGGATTTCGTACCGGATTTGAAAGAAATGATCACCTTAATGAGCATTAAAACGGCAATAGAAAAGGCTATTGAATACAATCGACCACTCATTCTGGCTTTTGTAGATTTCCATAAAGCCTTTGACACGGTAGAATTTGACAAAATCCTGGAAACACTACAAGCATGTCGCATTGACTACCGATATACAAGGTTAATTTACACTACATACAAGAACGCAACTATCTCGGTGAAACTACATGAAAACACGGATCATATCCCAATCGGCAGAGAAGTCCGACAGGGTGATACTTTATCGCCTAAACTGTTTACCGCAGTACTGGAATATGCTTGTAAAAATTTAACTGAGAAGAGAAAGGCCTGAATATTGACGGTAGAAGATTAACAAATTTGAAATTCGCAGACTACATAGTTTTGTTCTCGGACAACCTCAAGGAGATATATACAATGCTACATGAACTTCAGTTAGTGTGTGCCAGTGTGGGTCTAAAAATAAACATCTCTAAAACAAAATTCATGACAAACCTAGTACCTAGCGGAAATATCAATATTTCCACGAGACAGCCAAACATGCGAACTACGAAAAAGAATAAACATAGGATGGGCAGCCTATGGAAAACTCAAAGACTATTCAGTTACTAAAATTGTTATAATGATTGCTCACCTTCTTAGAGGATATGGCACATTAGGAGGAAGTGATTGATTTATTATGAACACTGTATCTGTACAAGATCGACCTGTTCTGAATCCGTGGTGCTTTTCTTCTAGTGTTATCCTTTCACTAATTTTCTTTATCCTTTATCCTTATTGTTGTTTGATTTAGAGTTGTGTTTAATAGTTTTATACCACGATAGCTATTAGGATTTTTACGATCTCATTATTTGAGACACCATTTATTTTATTGATGAAGTAATCTCATTATTTAGTTACATTAAAAACTTTGCACATGTTTTAGGTTAAAAAATTGTGAAAATCAAACATATCGGGCATTAATGGGACTAAAAGCTAAGAGAAGAGTTTTACTTAGTGGTACTCCTATTCAGAACGATCTTTTAGAATACTTTAGTTTAATCCATTTCGTCAACGAAGGTCTGTTAGGAAACGCATCAGAATTTAAAAAGAAATTTGAAAATTACATAATAAGAGGTAAGTGTAAAATTTCATTATTAAATAAATATGTACTTGTTTTGTTACTGTTTGCATATCGTTTTTTAAGAGACTTTCTGCAAATGCTTCAAGTATCATTGATGATGTTCTGATAGGACCAAGACCAAACACGTTTTAAACAATTTTGTAGTCCAATATATTTTTATATAGTACAGGTTGTTTACAACTGTCGTTTTTTTCCTGTCCCTAGTTTCCATCGTTTCCTCTCTCGGGTGTCGGGTTCATTTAGCTGTCTTCCTTCCATGGCTTCATTCACGTCATCTCGCCAGCTTCTTCTTGGACGCCCTCTTTTCCTTCTTTCGGTTGGGATTCATTTTAATATTTTCTTTGGCCACCTCTCGTCTGCCATTCTGTTTACATGACCGAACCAAGTTAGTTGTTTTTTCTGGACTTCATCTATAATGTCTTTTTCTTGCTCCATTCTACGTTTTATTTCTTCATTGCGGATTCTGTCCATCCTTGTCAATCTACAGCTTCTTCTCATAAAATCCATCTCGGTAGCTTGTAATTTTTTCCAGTTTCTTTTACTAGTGTCCCATATCTCTGCTCCGTATGTTACCACCGGCTCAACCATCGTCTTATATATTCGTTATTTCGTCGTTCTTGTGATTTTTTTATCCCAGAGAATGGAGTTTAGGCATTTGGTTTATGTTTCTGCCTTTGTTTATTCTTGTATTTATTTTTTCATGGCTATTTCCGTCTTTTGTAAACACTACTCCTAGGTATTTTACTCTATTTGTTCCTTTGATTTTTTCACTCTCCAATGTCAGGTCTTCGACTGTATTTTTCCCCACTGAGAGATATTCGCATTTTTGTAAGTTCATTGTCAGTCCACATTCTTCGTACGCTGTTTGTAGTTTCCTAACCATATAGCTGAGGTCGTCTATATCTTCTGCTACCACCAGTTGGTTATCAGCGAGGTTTCTAAGTATTCGGGAGTACAGTCGTCCTATAGTGGGGATGACAGCAATTCCTCTATAGTTTCTGACATTGTTTCGTGCTCCTTTTTTGTATATGGGGTTATATAGGCCTCACGCCATTCTAACGGGGTCTCTTCTCCATTCAGGCATCGTTGGAACAGATCTTGGAGCATTTCCCACAGTTTAGCTGAGCCGTATTTAATAAATTCTGGTGAGATGTTTCCTGGGCCTGGCGCTTTTTTAAGTTTAAAAGATCTTATCGCTTCTACGATATTTGTCATGTTCAATTCAATGAATTCTGATCGTATGTCTCTGTTTGCATTTTCGTATTGAAAATTTTGTCGTCCTTCTTTTATATATTTTTATAATTTTATGAATTATACCAATTACATTAGAAGTTATAAATTTTAAGGCTTTTTGCATAACTGAATATTCCGAAATCAAGAGTTCGTACTATAATTGAGCCGCTGAGAGCAAAATTGGTGTAAGTCATGTTTTTGTATAATTTGTACTTACATCACTATCCAATAGCTTTAACCTCATACGGTTACCTGTAAAAGTAGCGTACGTCTAACTTCCAATACTTCCTACTGGAGGGCAGAAATATATTGAACTTATGTATAAAATGTTGATAGTGCTAAATTTAGTTTAAAATGTTTCTTAATATTAATTATTTTTAGGGCAAGATTCAATGGCTACAGATCTAGAACGACAACATGCTTCTGAAAGACTGATTGAGCTCACCACTATCGTAAATAAGTGTCTCATTCGCCGCACTGCTTCCCTTTTAACCAAATATCTCCCAGTTAAATTCGAAATGATAATCATTTGTCAATTAACACCTCTTCAAAAACAGCTGTACCTTAATTATATTAACTCAGAATTAATAAGAAAATCGGTAACCGGCGAGGAATCTCAAGGAAATACTCTTAGTACTTTGGCTAGTATTACCACTTTGAAAAAATTGTGCAATCATCCAGACCTTGTACTGGATAAGATTTTAGAAGGATCAGGAGGTTTTGAAAAGAGCAGGAATCTTTTACCACCTAAGAACGGACCTAACGATGTAAGACCCGAACTTTCAGGAAAGTTGATGCTTCTGGATTACTTTTTGGCTAATCTTAAAGCTAACTATAGTGATAAAATTGTTCTAGTGTCGAACTATACACAAACTTTAGACTTGTTTGAGGTTTTATGTAGAAAAAGGTAAGATCATTTATAAAGTAATTCTAGGTTTTTTCTTTTCATATATAATCAAAATTAGGAAAATTTCCTCTATCAATTACTGACAAATTTAAATGGCTTTTAATTTTTTTTTTTGATCAAATCAAATGAGCTGTATAAGTCAATCAAATATACATCGTACATTTCCGGGTATTCATCCGTTGCAAGTTTTTTTTAACTATAACCATTTGTAGGCATCTTTTTTGCCAATGACTTCGGTAGGAGAGGTTTTGGGTTTGAGTGCTATACATTTTTCTTTTAATTTTGGTGTTGGGTTTTTTGACTAGCGACTTTCACATTGTGTATAATTTTAATGTGTTGAAGATTCCTCGTGCTTCTATTTCTATCGCTTCTCGGAATTATTCTTGTCTTATAGTATGAAATGTCTGCGATCTGTCTGCAAGAGTTAGGGTGTGTTTTATATCATCTGGTTTGTATGTGTGAATAAATCTGACGAGATTTGCTTGTTCGTTGTTTCGTCACAGTGTTTCCTTCATGTATCTCTCTTGGCTTCTCTTCGCTCTGTATCTCGATCGCAGTATATTGCTCCTCGACCGCTGCATCTCAAACATTCTGGTGTATTTGTCATCACTCTGAGATGCAATCGGTTTATGAGACACGTCGAAATTAGCTTTATCGTTACAATATATTCATCACAAAATTAAATCATTAGTAGGAGGTGACCTATTGTATATTATCTCCAAATATTAATTATTTTTTTTCAATTGAAACATTTCATCAAGCTTGAAACATACAAATAACATATAAAATCATTGTAAACAGATGCTTTCTGGAATTAAACATAATTTTCTCTTCGTACTTTTGTAGAGGATATTTATATGTACGATTGGATGGTACAATGTCCATAAAGAAGAGAGCTAAAGTAGTAGACAGCTTTAATAATCCGGAATCGAAGGAATTTATTTTTATGTTAAGCTCAAAAGCCGGAGGATGCGGTCTTAATTTAATTGGTGCCAATAGACTGATCATGTTCGATCCCGATTGGAATCCTGCAAACGATGATCAAGCTATGGCAAGAGTTTGGAGAGATGGACAGCAGAAGCCATGTTATATCTATAGATTCTTAGCGGTAAGGCTTTCTATTGATAAAAAACCTTCGTTTTTCTTAACATTAATCCATGCACAGTTCCATTTTTTGCTCTCTTTTTTACTATTTTTGAAATAAAATAATTATTAAAAAAAAAATAACAAACATGTGACGTTTATAACGTTACAGATCACTTAAATCCGTTTCGCGTGCTTTCAGAGCCCACTTTTATCGTAATATAGTATTTTAGACTGATTGAAATTTAAATTTATCATTCCAGGCTGGCTCGATAGAAGAAAAAATCTTCCAAAGACAAGCCCACAAAAAGGCACTTAGTTCGACCGTCGTTGATATGAACGAAGAAGCAGCCAGGCATTTTAGCGTTGCAGAATTGAGGGATCTTTTCAGATTAGAAGATACAGAATCAGACACGCATCAAAAACTCAAATGTAAAAGGTGTATGAACAAGATACAAATTAAAAATCCACCCGACGAGGCTGATTGTACTGACGATTTAGCACTATGGTATCATTGTTGGGATAAAAAGGGGTTGGCAGATATGGTAAGATATTTGACTTATTCTAGATTTATAAGAAGTGCTAATTATTGTGAAGTTTCGTCGCGCAGTTTTTTTTTTAAAGCAAGCTATTTAAGCGGCATTGGGTAAGTAAATCGTAGCGATGAAGCCACCGAATGAGTGCCGAGCCTTAACCGCCCGAAGTTCGTGCAATCGGCTGCATTAGAAAGTTTTAAATCACCGTCGGAAAAAAAGGAATCGAGACAGAGAGAAAGATACTCGAACTGTCGAGAGGAAAGAAAAAGAAGAGTCAAGAGACATATCAAAATCATATTCATTGCTTTCGCATACAAATAATTCCGGTATAGCATATTCATATCAACATCTTCTAAAGTGAGTTTCTTCGAAATAAATCATTTTTCTCTGAATTCTTTGTTGTTTATGCCCATGACAATCCTGTCACGTAAAGATTGATCTAATTCGGACCCAAATTCACAAGATTAGATCTTTATAAAAGTGATCAAAGGCTTCCCCTGTGATTGCGAGTATATATAAACAATTCTCATAATTTTATTTATTTCTGGTATACAGACTGCTTCTTGTTCATTGCAAAGTTACTCTTTTGTGCATCTGTAAGTCTCATAGTGTTTGTAACGCCAACTCCTTCGCCTAAGGATAGCAACATTCATTTTGTATGGCCTTATGTCCTTTCCAGACGCAATCAAGTGATTTTTCAAGTTTTGCTTAAAATTTCTTAAATTTTTGCCTATATTATTCTCAAATTTCATAAGATTTGGTAGTCTCGCGTCTATCTTGTATTTTTATATGTCCCGCCAAGGTTATTTGACTTCAACTTATAGGGAACCACAACAAATATGATTTTATTTTCCTTTGTACTGCGCTATGTTTTACTATTCATAAAGGAAGGTTTTATATTTTACTCAAATCTGTTATTTAAGAATTTTTACAATCTGCCAGCCATGACACGAAGTGTCATTTTTAATATGACATCTAACAATGTGTACATCGAACTCACAGAACAATACTTAAAGCTAAATACATATAATAACAATATAATATTTTGTGACATCTATACTTTCGGGATCTTTGTGTTATCTGATCAATTAGAATCACATTTAAAAAGTTATTTCAAATCAAGTTCCTAGCCATCCCACAAAATAGTTAATTCACAATAGAATATCTATGATCAGACCCATGCAGTGGCGTTGCAATATTAAACAAATTAAATTATTTGAAATCGCACTAATTACAAAATTATTACTCACATAAATAATAATAAATGGAGTTTGATTGTACACAGATTGTTTTATAGATACCAAACTTTTTGTTTGTTATAATACCATCTTTAATAATTGATACTCTATAAAGTTTCATACAGAATGCCCTTTTGATTTTTAAATCAGGAGTTAAGACAGGAGATTATCATGATGATATAAATTTAAAAAATTATGAAAAATAGATAAAAGAACAGTTAATCCCCAATTTTCCTGTTGTTACTGATAATGTGTTATATCATAATGTACAAATTAATAAAGCACCCACCAGTAATTCTAAAAAAATGGATATGACATCTTGGTTGACAGAAAAAATCTACCATTTGTAACGTCAATGTTAAAACCGCAATTGTATGAAATCATCAAACGACACAAACAAGATCATATTCAGTATAAATTTGACAAAGTGCTGCATGAATGTGGACATGTTTCTTTAAAACTTCCGCCATATCATCCAGACTTGAACTCTATAGAAATGGTTTGGACGTAAATAAAAAATAAAGTTGCAAAACAAAACGTTTATTTTGAGTTAAAAGACGTAGAAGTGTTGGTGGAACAGGAATTTGTTAGAGTAACTATAGATAACTGGAAGAAAGTGTGTGAACATGTTGTCAAGGTTGAAGATAAGTATTTGGAAAGTGAACGTCGCATAGATGTAATTACTGAAGAATTAAGAATTGATTTAAATGATTATCTTGATGATCACAGTGCATCTGATTATGAAAGTGAATAATATAATTTAACATTACGATGTCCCTGTGTAACTTAGGTGAATATAAGTTTTCCAAATAGTCCTGTATGTATGTATTATTTTTTTACTTTGTTGATTGCAATTTTCTTTTGTTTCGTATATTCTTGTATTTAACTTTAAGTGAGTAATAATATAAATAATAAAGGTTTTAAAGTTTAAACAATCTTTGTAATTAATATTTATTAATACTGTTATCTGTAATACGCATCTATGGTTTCACATACAGACAATATATGTATCTGATATATCAGGGGTCACGAATTATATTCCCTGAAGGTCCTTTTGGAAGACCTACTACACTTCCGTGGTCCGGTTACAAAGTACTAAACCAGGCAGTGGCGTAACCGGGAGTGTTACCCTGAAACCCACCAGTAGTTGAAATCCCTTCCTCATGAGATCATTGTCGTTACGTAGTTAAAACCAGGCAACTAGGCCACCTTGTTTTTGGAAGGGGTACATTAGTCAAAATTAATTATTACAATAAATCTAAAAATAAATGTAAAACTCAAACTCCTTACACAATTAAACTATTAGTCTATTAGTGAGAAAAATGACACTTTTTATTTTGTATAACCTGTCTGAAATTTCGATTGAGGTTAGTGCAACTGATTCTCATTAGGGAGCCGAGTTGTTCACCTGTCAACCGAAATCTACTGATTTTTAATAAAGTTCATTTTTTAAAAAGCGGCTTCGAATGTTTCTGGAACTTATAGAGAGTATATACGAGCGTATAAACCTCCTTTAAAGCGGAATCTTTCAGATACTCGATCATTTCCATCTGAAGGGTAGCTTGGCTACTCTTAAAAACGTCTGTTGCTTCGCTGGTCTATACACCATTAGGCGTGAGTGAAAAACTGTTGCTTAACAGTTGCACACATTTTGTGTTGACAACTTCCCTATTGTAGTTTGCTAAAAGATTATTTTTAAGCAGGTTGAAATTTTGGAAACCCGTTTAGTCGAAGCATATTGTTTAGATTACGAGTATTTCTATATAGTATTAGTACTGTGCATTTTAAAAATGTAAATATATTTATATATTTAGATTTGATTATAATTTTACACTATAATTTTATTACTATATTTTGAATTTGAAAATCGGCGGTCCGCAAAAAACAAGCTCACTCAAAAATATAATCTTTTTAATCTGTTAATAAATTGTGTGAACCTATTTTTAACAATTTGATTTAAATCATAAGTGTTTTTTGGAACGCCACTGCTTTGTTTGCTGAGGCTCTACTGTTCCTAGAAATTTCCGCCACTACAGTTGAAACATACTCTAGTATGTGACTACTTACTGGGTTTGTTATTTTTTAGATGTTTTATTACGTTCTATAGTTCTCCTATTGAAGATGATTTTACGGTGAATTATTATTCCTTTTCAGGAATTTCATAGATGCAGAAATCAGATAGATTTTATACTGGTAAAAACCCGTTGGAGGAGCGCTGTTAAGAATGTTAAGACCTATCCAGGAAAAGATTGTAATAGCGACCATCAATTTTTATCAGCTGAATTCCGCATGAAGTTAAGAAACAGTCCAAAAACAGGAAATACAACAACTAAATGGCATCAAAGATATAACGATCCGTACAAAAAAGCCGCAATGCAAAAGCTATGTGACCTCAAACAATCATTAAATCCAGACGAGTCCTCAAACAGCATATGGACAAAAACAAAATCCATATTGCATAATGCTGCGAAAAATATTAAGAGTGATAGAGAAGAAAGAAGGAAACAATGGATAACGGACTCCACGTGGACTAAAATACAGGAGAGGAAGTGCTTAAAAGCCACAGGACTGAACAGTGAAAGTGATAAAGAGGCCTAAAAAGCGCTGAACGGTCAAATAAAACGACTCTGCAAAAAGGACAAGAACACACACTTGAACAAAATCTGCATGGAAATAGAAGGGCATAAAAAAAAACTGAGACCAGAGACATGTTTAAAAAAATAAAGCAGATAACACGTTCCTTTACACCAAACTACCCTGCTATCAAAGATGATAACGGAACTCTACTCACTTCTAAAAAAGATATTTTACACAGATGGAAAGAATACTGTGGACGACTGATGATGGAGGAAAGCACAGACGCCCATCACAACAAGAAGATGCCAGTTTTGCGACGGAACCTGACGTACTCAAAAGTGAAGTTGAAGCAGCAATTATGAGGCAAAAAAGTCAAAAAGCTGCCGGTCCAGATAACATACCTATTGAAATGATTTGGGCCCTAGATGACGTTGGAGTGGATATAATACATCAAATTTGTCAAAGAGTGTGGGAGACAGGTAAATGGCCTGAGGACTGGACACAATCACTATATATTCCCATACATAAAAAGGGAGCGAAAGATTTATGTAGCAACTATCGCACAATTGCTCTAATTGCGCATTGCAGTAAGATACTCTTACACATAATTCTCGAGAGGATAAAGCCCTTTTTACTACCTAACATTGCGGAGGAACAAGCAGCTTTCGTCCCAGGACGTGGTACTAGAGAACAAATTTTAAACGTACGGCAGATTGTAGAAAAATCCAGAGAATTCAACATCACAACATATTTGTGCTTCATAGATTATAGTAAAGCTTTCGATTTGGTCAACTGGAGTAAAATGTGGCAGGTTTTGTCTGAAATGGGAGTCCCTAATCATCTGATACTGCTAATTAAAAGCCTGTACAATAACAATTATGCCAATGGGGAACTAACTGACAGTTTCAGGGTCACAAAGGGCGTGAGACAAGGCTGCGTACTAAGCCCAATTTTATTTAACATCTATGGTGAATGGATAATGCGGAAAGCTACTGAGGACTGGAACGGTGGCATCACCATTGGCGGGAAGAAGATTTGCAACTTGAGATATGCAGATGATACTACTATCCTCGCTAGTTCTGAAACTGAATTGATTCACCTGCTACAACGGATAGAAGACGTAAGCTTAACGATGGGCCTTAAAATAAACAGGGATTAAAACGAGAATCATGATAATTGACAGAGCTAACAACAATCAAAATCATCTGGTTAGGATAAACAATATCGCTGTTGTAGATAAATTTGTGTATCTGGGCTCATTAATAACCAACAAAGGAGGCTGTACTGAAGAAATAAAGCGGCGGTTAGCAATCGCAAAAAGCGCTATGGCAAAATTAACAAAAATTTGGAAAAGCCATGAAATTACTACCGATACAAAAATGAGGCTAGTAAGAAGTCTAGTTTTTCCAGTTTTTACTTATGCATCGGAATGCTGGACCCTTACTGAGAAAGACAAAAAGAAAATAGATGTATTTGAGATGTACTGCTGGAGACGAATGCTGAGAATACCATGGTTGACCCGAAGAACAAATGAATCCATACTGATACAGCTAAACATAAAGAAAAGACTAAGAACACAAATAACAGAACAGATAATAAGTTATTTTGGACATGTGCTTCGAAGAAATGGTCTTGAAAAACTTACTATCCAGGGAAAAGTAGAAGGCAAAAGAAGTAGAGGTAGATCTCCTACACGATACACGGACCATAATGTTGCTACCATTGGCGCTCCATTGTCAGAATGTGCTAGATTGGCAGAAGATATAAAAACGTGGAGGAACATTGGAAAAATTACCTAACAGCTTCATGATATCACGATACCTGCATCAGGTTAACAACTAAGAAGAAGAAGAATTATTCCTTTTCACCGTTAGGAACTCTAACACTTTTAGTCCATTACCATTTGCTCTAAATTGGGCGCGTAATCCCCAAAAGTTACATTCCGAATAAAATTTGCCAAATTTTCTTTTAGTTCACTAAATAAAAAGCTTTGCTTAATCGAGAAAGTACAACTATGTCCTAATATTAAAATATCTAGATGTTTGCATTATGTGTCAAATGTATAATATTTATTGTCTAATTCCATATCCTGGAACGATACCTGCTAGTATACAGACAGATTTGCGCACACCGTTGTTTTATCGCTACTATTTACTTAACACATTCGCTACCAAGCGGCTCATATATGAGCCACACGGATTTCTCGCACAGACCAGCGTCACACATTTGAGCCGGAGATCCCACCGCTCGAAATGTCGAATAAAATAGTTACGTTCGCAGATAGCGTATTTCGTTTTGGACGTGGTCTATAGAAAAGTTTAGGCGCATATATGAGTCAGATGGTCTGTGTGCAGCTCCTACCGTTTAGTAGAAATTTAGCGAGCACGTGTGCAACATTGTCTTTGAATTGTGCTGTATATTTTTGTTGTTTTTAGTCCATGTAAGTATGTTTGTTTTACCTAGTATTATGTATGGTATTTTATATGATATTCCACTACAATACAACGATTATTACTACAAATAAAAAAAAACGCTGTCGGTCTAAACTTGAAAAGTATGGTTATGTTACGAAATATTTCTTATTTCAGGTGCATGGTCTATTTCAATGAAAGAAAATCATAAAAGGCTGTGTTTACTAAAATAAAATACTACACCAGCTTATTATTTTATTGCCAATTCTAAATAGTAGTAATAAGCCTAAAAAAAAGTCGTCATATAATGGACCGCATAGTCTCTAAATAAAGATTTTGTACATATGCTGTTGCGATTACTAGATTGCGTAGGTAAGAAGCTTCGTATTGTTATTTTATATTTACACGTAACATATTATTTGTCAAATATAGGAAAGAGTTTGAAAATCTTACAATCGCCATGCGGTGTTATGACGATTGTGAGATTCTCAAACTCTTGCCTACGTTTGACAAACTATATGTAGTAAAACCCCTTTGAATGTTGCAAAAAAAATTAATTTTTTTAGGGTTTTGCTGTAATGTATAACAGAACTATTCTAACAGAGAAGGAGCTTCAAGAAGAGGCGGCCCGAATTATGAACTCAGAAAATGATGACAGTCTTTCTGATATACTAGAACCTGATAAAATTCCTGAAATGTTTTTAGATTCCGGCAGTAGCTACAAGCCTTCATCAGAATCGGGTTCTAGTGTAGAACAAAATCCAGTTAGTGACTTGGAACATACGAGTGATGAAGCAGTTAGTGACCTTGATGAAAATGTTCTTGAAATGGACAGTGCACCAGTAAATAATCAAGATGGCAGCGACTGGCTCGAAATCGACGATGAACCGGAGGTGTTTGATTTTTCAGAAATTGAACGTTTGAAAATAGATATATCAAAAGAATGTACTCCCAAAGATATATTTGAAATACTGTTTGATGATGACTTGTTTCAAAAAAATTTGCGAATGGATTAATTTACGTGCACTGTCAGTTATTGGCAATGTAATACCGAAGCATTCTACAATGAATAAATGGAAACCAACTACTCCCCATGAATTCCGCCGTTTTCTCGAATTATGCATGCTAATGGAAACATAAAAATGCCAAACATTAAGTGCTACTGGAGTACGAATCCACTATTTTCACCCAATATTTGGAAATATCATGTCGAGGAGTAGATTCGAACAGATTCTACGGTGTTTGTGTTTTACCAGGAAAGATGATGCAAAAACTTCCCGTTTCCACAAAATTGAAAAAGTTGCAGACCATGTTTTTGAAAACATGCGTAAAGTTTTATATCCTGGAAGAGATCTCTCCTTAGACGAAGCCTTGCTGCTTTGGCGTGGACGATTAACATTTCGCCAATATATTCCCAATAAGAGTGCGAAATACGGAATAAAGCTGTATGAACTTTGCACCCCAGAGGGCTTTGTTTTGGAGTGTCTAGTGTATACCGGAAAGGACACAGTGAACAATGAGATTGGCCATGCACAAGCTGTAGTTACAAAACTTGCGGAGCGATATATTGGAAAAGGTCACACATTGTACTTAGATAATTATTACAATAGTGTAAAACTTGCAGAATTCCTTTATAAAAACAAGACTCATGTGGTAGGAACATTGAGAAAAAACCGGAAAGGAAACCCAAAGTGGTAATTGACTACAAATTACGCAAAGGAGAGAGCACTTTAAAAAAAAAAAGAATAATTTGATGGTTTTGAAGTGGAAGGACAAGCGCGATGTGCTTATGATATCAACATTGCATGGACCTGGATCTCAAAAAACAACTAATAAACGAGGAGTAGAACAAGAAAAACCCAGTGTATTAGTCGACTATAACAAACGTATGTCCGGTGTTGATAGAAGCGACCAAATGCTCTCATATTATACGACACCCAGAAAAAACTATTAGATGGTACCTAAAATTATTTTTTCATTTTGTCGATGTATGCTTATGGAATGGTACCTATCTATTTGCATAATGTTGCCAAGGAAAAAAAAATTACGTACTTAGAATTCAGGGAGCAGCTGATACTTGACTATCTTCAAATTCCACTTTCATCAAGGAAAAGTCAGGTAAAACCTTCATCTCATTATCCCAAAAAGCAGAAAAACGAAGAAGGTGTCGGATTTGTTCCTCAAAAAAGAAAAGGACCCTGACATTCTTTGTTTGCGAGAAATGTAAAGACAAATCTGGACAATTGATTGGGTTTTGCGTAGATCCATGTTTTGAAGAGTATCACGAAGACAACCAGTAAATGCTTTTTTTTACCACACACATCAGATTTGGTTTTTTTTTTAGTTTCCTGTTTTTTTTTGTCTTTTTTTAACAGAATACCTTATTTTTTTTCTGTTGTGACAAATATAATTAAATTTATTTAAAGTTGTAAGTTTTTTTATGTCTCATATATGAGACATATGGTCTATAATTTTACCAGTTATGCTATAGACCAGCGTCTCATATATGAGCCGCATAAAAAAATCCCACAGGAATTTCATATTTTTATCTCAGATTAGGTAAGTTACAATCAGGAATGGTTTTTATTAGTGAATTTGTCATAATCTATGTTTGGTCCAGCAGGACGAAACCTAAATACACCCCTGGTAGCGAACGTGTTAACCAATGAATTATTTAGAATACAAAACATTTTTAACTTTTAACTATTTCAAATGTTTACAAAATTTATTTTGTAGGTTTTAAAACAAATCTGGGATATGTCAAAATACATATCATTTGTATTCCATCAGAAGTCTGCCAAACAAGAAGTCAAAAAAGTTGTGGAAGAAGAAGATCCTGATTATAACGAAAAGGAAGAATCCGATTTTGACGATAAAGATTCTGATTATTCGGATTAGGAACAAATATGTTCATATGTCTTTTAAAAAGAATACATTGTGATATGTTTCTACTACATAGTTTCCAAATGATTGTAATTTTAAAACATAAAGTTTTCTATGTAAGAATTAGTTGTAACAGAAAAAATATATTTTTGAATTTCGTTTGATGACTTATTCATTCTAGCCGGTGCGGTGTTTGAATAATAAAAATGCATAAAAAGTCGATTATTTGGCCCAGGTAACTGTCATGATACTATGACTATAAGATAAGATATTGCGCATGTTTTTGTGACGTCATTGGAGACTTGCACGTTCGAAATGTCAGTTTTTGTAAATATCAATAAATAATCTTTAATAAATAGTTTGGAGATATCCTTATGTGTACGATTATTGTAATTATTAAACCTCTTAACTTATTTTCGTCTAGTAATTTCATCACAGAATGCATACAAATCTCATTTAACTTTAACAAGAATTCAAATTCTAGTCTCCAATGACGGCATGCGTGAACTCGACCGATTTTGAGCTACGGGAAGATCCTATCTTGTTATTCATAGTATCATGGTAACTGTTGTAAACGTCATCTTTATCCATGACTTCTTCTTCTTAACGTGCCCTATCAAGTCCCCTTGACGTTGGCGATTAACATGGCGAAACTGTCTCTGTCTCGAGCTATTCTAAAGAGTTGCTCAGCTTTTCTTATTCCTGTCCACTCCCTGATATTCTTCAACCAAGAGGCCTGCTTTCGACCAATTCCTCTGCGTCCTTCGATTTTACCCATCATAATAAGTTGAAGAATATTATATCGGTCTTCCCTTACTACGTGTCCAAAATAGGCCATCTTTCTACATTTGATGTTATCAAGCAGCTCGCAAGCAGCATTTGCTCTCTCAAGGACTGCCACATTTGTCAGCATAGCCGTCCATGGAATTTTTAGTATACGTCTGTGCAGTCACATTTCAAAGGCCTCCAGACGATTAATGGTGGATATTTTTAATGTCCATGCTTCGACACCGTATAAGAGGACTGACCAAATGTAGCCTTTCACCATGCGCTTTCGAAGATGCATGACTAGATAATGAAAATAAAGGAACATAGTTTTATTGTACAACGTCTGGACAATCCATGAGATTGTCAGTGTAACTCAATGTTCTATTAAATCATATAATAATTCAGTTGAATTCAAGTTTCAAATTGGTTTACAGGTTATAAATAATGTCCAATTTATATATTCTTTGAAAATGAATTCCGAGTTGGTGACCAAAACGTCAACACAAATGTAAAATTTAATTCTCATTATAATCAATTGTGGTTCAGGTGCGTATTGCTCTATAAATTATTATATAAATTAGTGTCGATTAGTGTTGCATCAATAGCGATTCATTCGTTCGTTTTGATTCAATCACCTCAAAGTATTGAATGACCGAATCCCGCTAGTTCATAACGATCCAATCGTATGATGACAAAAATCGACCCCCGACGGCGCCGATCGAATCAAAACAAAATCTCACAGCCAATACTCTCATTACTTTTGGTCCCTCGATTTTTCCTCACCTGCCACAAAGACCGATATATGCCATGATTGATTGCATTCGTTTGGATGAAGAATGATTGAAAAATTAAAATACTACATATTGAATTAAGAATTGCGTGCAATGCAGCGACTTAGCTACAAATCGGGAGTATTGCGATTGCTTTCGCTTGTGTTTTTAATGGTTAATAAGTAGTTAAAATCATAAAATATCGCAAAATTAAAATTTGTTCAATGACAATAAATTATTATATTTGGACATATTTCCATATAAATGTATAATTATTTCTGAGTTACACTAAGAACCTAAAAACAAGATCATGATAAATTCTGGCTTCTGTAATATTTCTTAAGCTTCTAAGCCCAACTCGCACTAACATAAACGTATGAAGGTGAATACACATATGTATATGAAATACTGTAAGCAATACTACCGGTTTCCAGTCGATTCAGCTCAATCAATCGGTTACTTATTATTCATTTTAAACGGCAACCAAAAGTATTGAGACGAACGAATGGTTGAAATGATTCGATCGTTTTCAGAGTCGGTCACTGATTCATTTGGTCCTTGTAAAATGAACATGTTGTGTCCTGATACACAACACTAGTCGATAATTACAATTTATTACTGTGAATATCAGTTTTTTTAGTATTAAATTATATATAGTGATAAACAAACATTTTTTTCCTTACTGCATGGAACGTGTTCCAGGTAACAAGCAAGTATTTTAATATTTATAAACAATTGTCTAGTTTTATATTATCAACCTACTGAAAAGCAATTAATTCTGCAAAGAGCTCTAGGCTTATGGAAAAAAAATATAGACAACACATTTTACAATATCAGTTTTTTATTTGCGGACATCCCAGGAGAAATATAAACATTAATATTGATCAGTCGTCATTGATGCCTCCTACTAAAGACTTAATGGAAAAAAGCACCATACATGTGAAGAAGAAGTCAAAAATGGATTCCACAGATAAATCCAAAATATCAGATGTATCCCCCACTTGATAATCTCATAGCCTTTCTTGAGAGCGCCCATAAAGTAGTAACCTCACAATAGAACCCCAGCAAACTACTTCCGACATCAATCCACTTTTATCTGGCATGTATGCAATTTAGCCACACCTAATCACCAGATCACTAAAAATAAGTACACTAGAATATCAACCAAGCTTAAACAAGAACTAACTTCAGAATTATTAGATACAAATAGCCTATACTACGTTCCACGTTTAGAAAATAACATTGCGAAGATAGGGCCATGTATTTCTTATGGACGATAGCAACGCGGCGTTGCCACGACACACACAAGCACAATTTAGGGTTGTATAATTTGTATTTTGGTTTCCACAAACATGAATTAAATTAATGTTTTTTAACGTAATTGACCAAAAGTGCCCATTCGAAACAAGAGATGAAAAGTAGGGAAAATGATTTTAATTAGATAAATAGTATTTACAAAAGATAATTTTATTTTATCTTATTTTAATTATAGTAATGACAGTTTATTTGTTTTTCGGTGAGAATACGATATGCCATGAATCATATAAATCAGTAGAAAATATTGACCACTTGGAATGCGTATATCTAATTACTAATTGCAACTTAAAATAATACGATGTGCGTATGTCAGCTATTTTATGTCGTCTCTGACTACATAATGATAATAAGGCTTTTATTTAGTAGTTATTCTGACTTTACAGTTAAATATTAATTGAAAATGAAAATTCAAAAATTAAGCAAAGGGAATATCTTGGACATCCGTGCAAAAGAGAGTGTCTGAGAGTTTTGGCAACACTGATCTCCATAAGCGTAATGTTATTTTCTTAACGTGAAACAAAGAATAGTATCACAAACGTCTCTTGATACTTCTGAAGATAATGACACAATCGAGTATTCACAACATTCAGAAAAATTTAAACACCAACAACTTTCACACTTATTCAATGGAATTTTATAGAATTCTTTTGCCGCTTAGAAAGAATTCAACAAACAACTTATCAGCAAAACCAATGCAAATACCTATTTGTTTGCAAGAAACTAATTTCAAACAAATTCATAATATTGTTCTTAGGGGTTATGAATGATATCATCACGTAAGCAGAATGTGTCAGAGCAAGTGGAGGAATCTAAATTTTTGTCGAAAAAGACGTCTATTTAACACATTTGTCTTTATTTACCAACCTAGAAGTAATAGCAGTAACTATATGGTGTTACAATCCTACTATTTTTAATTGTGGGAGACTTTAATGTCTACAATATTGTATGGGGTTCACAAACCACCTACGGCAGAGGAAAATTTGTAGAGAATGTACTAAACATTACCGACACTTGTTTTCTAAATAATGGTTGACCAATAACCAATATTTTAACAGTTTCTCAGCGATTGGCCGATCTATGCGATCCGAAGTCTATGCGATCCAAAATATATCTTTCTCTAACATGGAATGTTGTAGATAGTAACCATTTACCCATCCTTATAACAATGAAGAAAAATCATCAGGAACAGCAGCAACGTGGAAGATTCCTAATGCAATCTGGGCAAGTTTTATCAGGTAACAAAATCAAATTTTTTGCCTTAAGGTTAACGGTTTTATGTCTTAAGGTGTCCAATATAGGGTCAATTATCTTACATATTTTTATTCAACGTTATCTCATCTACATTTCTTGTTTGAAACATTTTCTTCTAGGGTCTACGGCATACAGGTTCTTGGTAAATCGATGTTTACCGTTAGTCCTCCCCTCCCACGATTTGAGGGTCAGTTTTAGGGGGAAGCCCAGGGGTAGGGGTGGCAAACATTTTTACATCTTTTTTGGGGTCTTAAAATTGACATTCTCAGCAAAATTCAGCTTGTTCATATGATTCTTAGAGGTTCAGTGCCATTTTCGTTTTTGACCACTGCGACTGAAGTATTCTTTCCTTTTACACTTAGGTATACACAAATCGTTGCCAGTATTACAATTTGACGAACCATATTTTGGTTACTGTTAGTACTAGAATATTTTACAATAGACTATAAGTACAAAAAATAAGTTTTCTTTTTGATTGAGTAATGCATACCTAAATGTACAAGAAAAAAAGGAAAATTGAGAAATTTAAAAAATATCCACATAAATCATTAAAAGTAGAAAACTTTGAAGAACCGTATCTGGCTTAAAATTAGTTTTAGAACCTTCTACTAGACACCATTTTAAAGATAATTCATTTTTCTTTAAATTAAATGTACCACTACAGTTTCTTCTTCAGGGGGCCTTCTTCAAAAGTCTCAACCTCCCTCTTGATATAAAAGTACGAATGCCGCGCTGCTACGTCTTTTAGTCCTATTTTTTTAACATAATCAATAGCCTAATTATTTATAACTCGAAAATAAGACATTTTTGTTTTCATAATGGTCCAAAAAACATTTTTATCCGATTCGAAAAAATTGATTGTTACTTTTAGCCTGAGCGATCTATTATCTATTGAACCTTATTTTGGAGTATCACAGAAAAGTGATTATGCAAAAAAATCACATAGGGATATTTTTCCGAATGAATCCGAGGTTTTCTCCTTGTCTGTATCTCATTAGTTCTTTATTTCATTCATATTTCTTTTTATCATTATAATTTCATTAGAAAAGAATATTTTAATTCAGTATAGTTTCAGAATAGTTCAAATCGTTTAGCATTTCTTTGTCATTTTTTTATACAAACTTTATGGCGCTTGCTTGTCGTAAAATCACCCTTAACCTAATTAAATAATATTAAAATAATGCTCCACAGGTGACGTGACAGGTGTTTCCGTTGAAATTCATCAGCGTTTGCAGTTTGCAACGACATAAAAATAAACATTAAACATTTGAGGAAGGTAATTAAAATACAAATAAAAATAATTCATTATTTTATATCGCAACTATTGGATATTAAATTATGTAGGTATGCACTTGTTTGTATTTATTCACGATTGTTGACCCCACTAGATAAATGTATGAATCGATAATCATCGCAGAATCTCCGACAAAAAATAACCTTGGTTAATAAGTACGTACGTGAACAGATAAAAATCCCAATGATTAGGAAATTCCTTCGGCAAGGTTTTTCTTTATTAGAAAGTACCTCCTTCCTAGAGTGCGGGTCGCGAGCAACGAATTTGTTAAACGCCAAATTTTTAAAATCAAAAATGGGTTGCTCAACTTCAAAAGTAGTTCAAATAAGCGAAACAGCACGTGAGTATTTTTTATTTTGTTGTGTTTATTTATAATGGTGTAATTGTCAAGCATTGAGTAGATTAAGTGACTCATTTATTGATCATAACCACATAGTAAGAAAATTGTTTCATATTCTGTGACATAACCTTGTTAATATTTATTTGTTATTGAATTATTTTTTTATATCACTATATTAAAAATATGTAGATATATCATTAGAAACATCCCATCCCAAACAGTCTGTAAAAACTTTGATTTTATTCCCTAGTCTAGTAGGTCAAATGACTCATGCAGAACATAAACATAACCTTGAAAACTTTCGGGTTTTTTCAAATTCGAATTGATGGGAAATAAATTAAGTCATTGTTTAAGCAGGTTTTAAAAGATTAGTGTTTCTGTTTCACTAATTTAATAGAATATGATAATATATTTAAAATATGTACATGGTATTTTCACGAAATTGTAATTAACAACCACATAAAAACGTAAGGCTCTTATGCTTTTAAAATATAGACACTCAGGGTGTGGACTTTCTCAGTAAGCTCAAATACGGACCAAAGGAAGATTTGATATTATAGAACAATTAAAATCCTTAAGAAGACCTAACAGTAAAAATGATTCTGAAATAATGCCAAAATAAAGTAACAATTACAAATACATCCAAATGTCTCAGGTAATTATTAAGTGGCTAACAATATTTCCGTATCGGTCCAAGGAATTGAAGGCTCAAGTGGGGAATCTATAAGGAACAAGGTTTTATTCCAATAGATTCAATATGGAACCTTATCATTGATAGTAACAAATGGATTGAAATTGCAACACATTTGCAAAGTTAAAATTATATCATTACATAATTACTGGTGAATTGACTTAAACAGTTGATCTTAAACAAGAATGTTACAATAGTATATTTTATGTTTAATAAATTATAAATTAATTGTAAAGGCTGATTATTTAATTAATCATAAAGTATTATTTACTTTGGTTTAATTTTATTGGTTAATTAATATCAATTTATTAAACAATCAGAGCACAGCTGTTAGTGAGGCTGTTAAGTTCTATTGAATTTTGGTTATCAACTTTTTTCACTATATTATTCTAGTCCTTAATATAATAATATATAGTCCTTAATCAGTAATATATAGTCCTTAATATAAGTTAATGTTATATTACTGTCTTTGTTACTATTTTTCATGATTATGTTAATTTTGTTTTATTATTATTTTATTACAGAATTAATCTTTTATTGAAGAATTATACTGCAGAGCTTATCTAGAAATTTTTAAATATGTTACATAAGTATCTACTTTCATTTTACTCTTCTAATTGAAATTTTAATATTTTTGTCTTGTTAACTTTTAAATTTTTTCATTGAGCGAATGTAAGTTAACATCAGTGTAAGTTCATAAGAACTGTTGAAAGTGGATTAAACTGTCGTGCCCCAAATTTCTCAAAATTATAAGGAAATTTTATAAAAACAGTTTCATAGAACAATAAATAATTACAGATATATTAAGATAACAATTAAAAGACTATTAAGAAACAACTAATATGGATTAACGAAATATAAAGACTAGAGAAGATCAAAACATTGACACTAACAGATTAATTTATGAATAGAAATGCAGATCTCAGCACCAGATGGCACTAAAGCTCTTCATAGGGCTTAGGCTGCCTCAAATATACTTACAGCCAAGTTTATTCAGTGTGTTTTCCGGACATATCCCACCAGATCAAAAACCGTAATTGGACGAGATGTCGATGATCTGAATATGACCATTCTGAATTTTCTTCTAGGAAAGTAGTTTTCATTTAAAATAGTTAAAACAGTTATAAATCAGGATGACATAGTCAACTATCTTAGAGTTTTTGAATCTATTGGAATTTCCTGGATTCCTTCCTAACAATTTACAATTAAAAGTAGTGTTAGTGCATCAGTTGTCATTATGCTGCGTAACATTAATCAACCCAGACTGTGCAGTGGAACGAGACAGACTAAAAAGGCCCATGAATAGTGTCATGGAGGCAGTGATCACCAAGGAAAAATAAAAGGAAAGGATGTCTTGATCCCATGTATACTGATGATTCCAAGGAACATACCATTTGATTTTAAATGTTTACAATTTCCCGTGCATTTTACTTTTGGTAATGACAATAAACAACTCACAAAGCCAACCATTAGAAGTTTGCGGAAGTAACTTAGAGTTTCCATGTTTCGCCCATGTACAATTTTCCACGCGTCGAAAAATCGTCATCATTGTATATTTATACATAAAAAAATGGAAATTTTGTTTATCAGAAAGCTTCAAATTGATTCAACTTTTTATACATGTTTGAATATTTTTTTTGGTATTTTTTATATTAATTTTTTAGACACAATATTTAATTGGATGACTTTCTGCAGAAAGGGACCAACCCCACAAATAACACAAGCTGAGAAAAATTAAGTAAAAGTTTCTGCAACAAAAAAATTGTATGTATAAAAGTGGGTTGGTTACTTTCTGCATTTTAAGAAATGAACTCTTTAGAAAAGTTTTATTGAAATTATTACATTTAATACAACAATACTAGTATATAAAAAATATAATTGTAACACCAAACTAAAATACAAAAAACATATATTCCCAAAATTGCTAATGTGTGATGGTTTCATCTTCAAGGTTATCAAGTTCATCAGGACGGCCGCTAAATCCTTCAATATCATCAATAATTTCAGAGTCTTCAGTTATAATATTCTTGAGCATCACCTGGTATTAAATGCATTACAGATTTCATGTCATCAAATTTTGGAAGAGAAATAGGCTTTCCGTTGGGCCACATTTTTGTGAGTAAATGGCTGAAATTATTATTGGTTACTTCAGAATAATTTTCATCTGCAAAGCTCGTTTTCATAAATATATAAAATGGTTTTGATTTGTCTAGCATTATCTCCCTTGTTTTTAACCAATTAATTTTTTGTTTGCTCATGTTAACTTTTCTATTACAGATTTGTTTTTGTGCTTCTGCTGTACCAAAAAAATCAAAAGTCATTCTAACCACATCAATTTTTTTCTATTTCTGCAATTTTCATTACGGTTATGGAACCTTTGGGAGGTATAACCTTGAATAAACTCTATGAGGACTAATCCTCTTTTGATTGATCATAGGTCAAATGTAGTTAGGTATGTAGGTCAAATAAACTTACAAAACAATAAATTTGATACCCAAAGATGTGCGTCAAAAAATTGTCAACATCTTTCTTTTTGGCTGGCGGCTGGATTTGGGCTTTGGATTTTTTAGCAAACCAACCTTTCTTTTGAAGAGATTTCCATGGCTCCGTCTCACATTCAAACACAAAGTTCATTAGGCCTTTGACAAAGCGATTTGTGTTTGTCGATTAACAATTTCTCTTTTTATGAAAATTCTCTTGCAGTCTGATACCGTCCAGATGCCTAAAGCAGCCTTTTTGCTGATGAAAGGCTTTTGGTTTTAAACAGTTTCCAATCTTCCCCCAGTAGTTTTACTATTGTTCCAACTGATTTGTATAAATCAATGCAGTTTTCTTTGTGGATGATAGTTGGCTTACACAACAATTTTTCCACTTGTCCCAACACACGGTCAGCAGGAAGAAAGCTGTGTCCTCTTTCGAGAAATGTAATTGTGATGTCTCTTACTTCGGACTTAGTTATAAACAAATAGCATTAGTGTATGCAAAACAAAATTGTTTTTATCTTTAGCACCACACCCATCACAAAACAGTTTGATTGATGTAACATTTTCAGGTAGATCAAGGCTTTGAAGATAATGCAAAAGTGCTGAAGAGACATCAGTGGAACCCTTTCCAGCTTCATTTTCTGTCCACACATAAAATGTCGGATTCTTTCCATCAATTCCAACAACACAGAAATATTATAATCCAATTTGCCTAGAGTAATATGCTTCTTGAATCGCTGATTTTGATAACGGTTGATCTGCTGTAAGTCGATGAACATAGTAACTGAATCAGACTGTTTTTTTTTTCATAGCCTTATAAAATGCTTCTGCACGAATCGTGGGAACTTGTTTGTTGGTTACGTACTCAATCTTCTTAGCTGGATCATTTGTGGTTTTAATGAAATGTTTCATTTTGTAGCAGTAACAAGTCAGACGCTGGGGAGCGAAATCCAATATTAAAGGTTTGAAAAATTCTTCGAAATTGTTTTTGATACTTTGTTGGAGATTCAATCTTGTCCTGATCCAAGTAAAGGCGCTTTGATTTATTTCTAGAATGATGTGTTTCTTTACCTCTTAACTTTTTTATGACATCTCTTACAAGCGCCTTTTTGCCAGCTGCCTTCGCTGATTTGCAGTCGGCTCCTCTATTCTCATTTATATGTTCCTCTTAAGAACACTTTTATAATATTGCTTAATCTGGTAGGTTTGACTACCATCTTCTTGTAGGATGCCTATCCGTTTCGGATGTTGGCGACCATCATGGCAATCTGCACTTTGCACACTGCTGCTCTAAAAAGATTTGTGGTTGTTGTGTTGAACCACGTTCGTAGATTTTTCAGCCAGGAAATCCTTCGCCTTCCTGGTCCCGGTTTTCCTTCTACTTTTCCCTGCAAGATTAGTTGCAGCAGTCCATATCTTTCGCTGTTCCTCATGATGTGACCCAGGTATTCGATTTTGGCTGTTTTTATTGTGGTTAACACCTCTTTTTCTTTTTTCATTCTCAACGGAACACCCTCATTAGTAACGTGGTCGGTATACGATATCTTCAGGATACGACGATAAAGCCACATTTCGAAAGCCTCAATTTTCTTGCAGGTGGCATCTGTGAGAGTCCATGACTCAACTTCGTACAACAGTATAGGAAAGATGTAACATCGTAGTAACCTGATTACCTGACTACCATAACTGACATGAAATACTTTTTACATAACTTGACAGTTGTTGGGTTTCTCTTAATCAAAGTGTACTCAACAGAACAAGAGTTAGGCGAGTGCCTAACTCGCCTAACTTGTTCTGTTGAGTACACTTTGAACTAAGTAACGAGT